GTATCGTGTGGCAAAGTCCACGGCAGTCAAGATGAATCTATGTCCATCAAGCATCTTGTGGGACATAGGGCCGATGATGTCCACTCCGACCTTGTCAAAGGGAACCGTGACAACTGGAATGGATTGTATCAGTCCTTTTGTCTTATCTTTGGCTTTTCCCACCATTTGACAAGTCTCACAAGTCTTGCAATAGGCTGTCACATCACTTCCCATTCCTGGCCAAAAAAATCTAGACTGAATGCGATCTTTGGTCTTCTTAATACCTAGGTGTCCACTGAAGGTGGTATCATGGGCTAACTTGAGGATTTTAGCCCTATACTTTTGTGGCACTACCAGTTGTGTTCTTTCCTCAAAGAATTTGGGACCCTTTGGTCTCCTCACAACTCTGTACAATTTATTCTCCACAACTTTAAACAAAACTGGTTCTTCACTTGTGGGTGTGTGGTTTTCTGGGACCACTTCATCCCACAAAGTTTTTAAGCTTTCATCACGTTGCTGGGCGGCTTCAAACTGTCTCATATGGCTTTAATCTAAACTGAAGGGAATTTCTTGGCTGACATTTTCTGTTTGTGAGGTAGATGGTTGTTCATCAGCAACACTGTATTCAGCCTCCTCTTCTAGCTTAGCTTGGCTTCTGGTAATCATATTAACATGCCTACAGCGTTCAGCCAAATCATTGCCCAACAATACTGGAACTTCTAAGTCATTAAAAAGTCCCATTCTCCATTTTCCAGAGAAGTTCTTGTATTCTATTGGGATTTCAGCCACTGACACTTCAAAAACAGGGCCATAAATTCCTCTCAACTTGTACTTTTGGCCTGGAAGTATCTGGTCTTCCTTGACAAACTCCGGCCTAATGAGCGATACTTCGGACCCAGTGTCTCTGAACCCCATTAGTTCTTGACCCTTCACTTTGATCACCCTCAAATAATCTCCATTTGTCTCTTTCTCAGTACTCCATACTCGCATTATCTTCACAGGCTCTTCCTGTGCGTGTGGAGACTGACTTTCTTCGTGTGGAGATATTTGCCTAACCACCTTAACTGGCTTTGGTGGTGTAATTGGCCTTTTCTGGGTGTTTAATTTAGGGCAAGCCGTTTTCTTATGACCCTCTTGATGGCAGAAGTAACAGACAAGTTTTCCTGTGGCAATCTCTGGAATGCGGTCCCTCCTGACAGGATTTTGGTTTCCCACGTCAGTTTTCTCTTTTGGAACCCATTCCCTCGGTCTCTTGGTGGCTCCTGAGCTATGACTCACATTCCAGTCATGCTCCATCTCATCCAACCAAGCCGCGAGATCTGACACTTGTTTAATCTTCTTGTCTTTAACGAACCACCTCATTTGTATGGGAATCAGTCGATAAAACTGTTCCATACAAACTAAATGCTTTAACTCCTCAAACGTGGTAGTTTTACTTCCTTCAAGCCATCTCTCTAAGGCTTTTTCCACTCGGCTTCCCAATTGTGAAAAGGTTTCTCCTGGCTTTCTTTTGATCTCCCTGAACATTTTCCTACTTTGTTCAGGAGTCAAGCCAAACCTCAGCTTCACCCTTTCTTTAAATATGAGGTAACTCGCACTCTCTGTCTCTCGCAGATCAGCGTAAACCTCACTAAGTTCCCCACAAAGTAGTGGTCTCAGGTACACCATCATTTTGGCTTCAGGTACCTCGAAATCGTGGCAAGCCCGTTCAAAGCTAGCCAGAAATGACTCCACGCAGCCCCCTTTTACATAACGAGGAAAGTTCTTTAAAACTCTTTGCATGTTAGAGTCCTGCTGTTGGCTTAAGTTAGGAGTTCTCTCATGTTCTCTCAATTGTAGTTCTGTCATTCTCTCCTCATGTTTTAACCGTTCTCTTTCTCTTTCTATCTCAACTTGCATTCTTTCTCTCTCCAACTGCATTTTTTCCTTCTCCAATTCAATCATTCTTTCCTTCTCCCTTTCTTGAAACTTTTCTCTTTCTAATTCAATCATTCTTTCTTTCTCCCTTTCTTGAAACTCAAGTTCTCTCAACCTCATTTCTAGCCTAAGCTTTTCAATGGTCAAAGAGGTAGCTATCTGTTCTTGTCTACCCTCTTGTACTTGGGTCTCAGTTTCCTCAACTACAGAAGCAGTTGTCTCCCCTTCTCTTTCTGGTTCTTCAGAAGTACCCTTCTTTGTTTTTGGTGGTGCCATGGTGCCTAATGTGTGTTAAGATGGCGCTAGAGGTGTCCTGTCTCTGAGGTAATTCTAAGTGTCACGTTTTGACAAAAATTTACCTCAGGATTCTCACAAAAATGCTCTGGATTGAGATGTTACACGATCCACACCGCTGCAAACCAATTATAAAGGCACGTCGTGTGGCCAAACAATAATAACTGGACAGGGGGCAAACAGATCCCACCAACTGTCCCTACAATATAAAGAATTTACACCACTTTGGCACCAATATAACGTTTGAGGGGATGTCTCTCTATTTAAACTTTCGCTGCCACCATAACTGATTGTACAGGAACACTCTAGCTGTTTAAAATGTTGAAAAGGGCTTTTATTACCACCAAGTACTGTGTTTTATTTTCTTATTTAAAGGAAGCAGGTGAGGTTGAATGAAAAGGGACTAAATCCACAAAGGTACACTGGACTCGGGCTTTTAAGTTTCAAAAAAAAACAAGGAAAGTTTATTGATAGAGATACAGAATGAAGTGAATGTTGTCTAATAAGCTTGGCTGTTACAGTTAAAATGTTTTGGTTCTTGAAAGCGTAGCGGTTGCATGAGAATGGTTCTTTCTTTGTTACAAATATAAAACCCAGCTATTTTTCCCTAAATAGCTGTACCCAGTTTGCCACAGCTTACTTCGCTGGCAAACTTCAGGCAAACTGCCTATTCTTATCACGAACTCCTAATTCTGTAATCCTGCTCTAACTCTAACATCAACCAGACTGACTCACTAAAAAAGCTTCTTTCTTTCCCTCCAAACAGTCTAACTCCGCCCCCCTTTAATAAACCAATCCTGGCTGCTCTAAGGCTGGCTCAGGCCTAGGCCACTCCCCCTCTCTGAAATGGAGCTTTCCCTAAACTAAAATGGCTCCTGCTGCCCTCTGCCAGGCCTTCTAAGGCTGAAACTAACTAGCCTGCCTCTCCTAGGCCCTGCCACCCAGGCTGGTAAGGTAAGGGATCTTCACAACCGCATCCCCTTGTATGAACCTGCCCAGGCCCTGAGATCAAGCTTTTAAACAGAGGCTGGATGGCCATCTGTCAGGGGTGATTTGAATGCAATATTCTTGCTTCTTGGCAGGGGGTTGGACTGGATGGCCCATGAGGTCTCTTCCAACTCTTTGATTCTTTGATTCTATGATTCTCTCGGTCCCACCTCCAACTCATGCTCGGTTGATGGGAATGAGAGAGCTGACCTTCCTTCTCAGTGGCTGCCCCTCAACTCTGGAACTTCCTGCCCAAGAAGCCAGAATGGCTCCCTCCCTTCTGTTCTTCCGGCAGCAGACTAAAACTTTTTTATTCAGACAGGCTTTTAAAGATAAATGTGTTTAGGACCATCAGGGGCTGCTGCAATTTTGTGATATGATTTTATATGCATTTATAATTTTAACCTGGATTATTTCAATATTAACATTACTTAATCCTGTTTCCAAATTTGTATATTTATATATTTTAAGTTGTATTGAACTGTTTTAGTTGTGAGCTGCTTTGAGTCTTCGTATGGAGAGAAAAAGAGATATAAATAAATAAATATAATAATAAATTATTTAGAATCTGTGTTGATTTCCTTTATACCTTTGTTGACTTGCTAAGATGATTTAGTATTTTAATTTTTTCTGTCTAACAGACATTTAAGATTTTGAGGTTTTCACACAGCTCAGTCAATTAAGCATACATATACATATTTAGCATCCATGATGGGATTTTGCCTAAAAATCCCACCCAAAATATGTGACGGCTTATTCTGCAGCAACATAATATTGCAAACCTTTTGCTATACTTGTATCAATTCATTTATACATAGTTATTGTAAATGTATTCTCACCTGAATGTTGTGAAACAAATGCAAAGGACCACATAATACACCAAGTAGAATATGATCACACATATAAGCAGATTCAGCAAAACAACCTGTAAAGTAAAAAGTAAATGTAACTTGATTTATAGCCATGTCCTTTTCAATCCCTCCCCCCCCCCTCCCAAAATCATTTTTTTTCCTAGAAATAAAACAACCTATGATATTGCTGTTTTGCCTCTCAGGTATAAAAAATAGCTAAACTGTGTCAGTTAAAACAGCGAGGAAAGAAATTACTGTAAACATTTTCCTAACTAAAATGTGCACCTGTCTGTGCATATCAAAATAAACAGAAGATTCCAGATGGAGGGACTGCTACCCATAGAAACATCTAAAAGAGCAAAATTACATAATGAGTTCTCTTAACTTCTTTTGCCATGTAACTGTGTTACAGTGTGTCTATATAGCCTCACTATTCAGATATGTTTAATTAGCAGCCTATGGTATTTTCAAGTAGCTTTTAAGGAAACAAAATGCAAACAATTATTTTTAAGTAACAATAACGTTAACAATTACTTTTTTAAATAATGTACATTTTATAGTAAGGAAATACCAAAAATATGCTAGTCAATTTTTTAAAAATAACTTTCAAGAATTTGGTTATATTTTGATGACTGCTTACAAAAAATGATTGATAATGTCTCAGACTGGGCAGGATTTTTCCAAAAGGAAACTAAGAATTAGGGTTATCAGTCCCTTGCTTTGCTGAATGTTTACAAACTGAATATATTTTGCACCATCTGGACGAGCAAGATCTATGGACTGACTAACCAAGAGATCACATCATTAACCACTTTGTAAAACAAATGAACACTGTATACAATTAAATATATTGCATTCGTCTGTATGCACCTATGCAGTGACTCATTGCTGCTTTTGGAAATTAACCAAAGCCCCAAATCCAGTAATATTCTATAGTGTATCTCCTGCCCTCACATTTCAATTTTATTTAGAAAATGAATTGCTACCAGAAATATAAGGTACATTTAGACAGAAGAATGAAATGTTCAGATACATACAGGATGTGTGGCACCTAGTTTGAAACTGTATATATGAGAGAAATTTGGAAGACTAAACAGATGACATGCTGTACATGAGTCAATAGTGTGATGCATCAGCTAAAAAAAGCCAGCGCAATTCTAAGCAGCAACAATAGAAGTATAGTGTCTAGATCAGGTGAAGTCATAGACTCTATTTTGCTTTGATCAGACCTCACCTGGAATACTGTGTCCAGTTCTGGGCACCACAATTCAAGAAGGGTATTGACAAGCTGAAACGTGTCTAGAGAAAGGCAACCAAAACCGTAAAATGTCTGGTAACCATGCCATATGAGGAGTGGCTTAGGGAGCTAGGTATGTTTAGTCTGAACAAGAAGTTAAGAGCTGGCATGATAGACATGTTTAATTATTTGAAAGGATATCATATTGAAGATGGAGTTTACGTCCTTTATGCTGCTGCAGTGACCAGAACATGGAGCAATGGATTTAAGAGATTCAACCTAAACATTAGGAAGAATTTCTTAACAGTAAGAGATGTTCAATAGTTGAATACTTTGCCTAAGAGTGTGGTGGAATTTCCTTCTCTGGGGGTTTTAAACAGAGATTGTACGGCCATTCATTGGAACTATTTTGACTGTGTATTCCCACATAACAGGAGTTTGGACTGGATGGCCTTTGTGATCTCTTCCAACTTCATGTTTCTATGATTCTGATATTCTACTTTCTATCAAAGACTCTATAAAGCTTTACTCGATATAACTCTAGAAACATAAGAATTGCTTGGAGAGAATCTGTCTTCCAGATATTTTGAACACCCAGAAGCCCCCAGCTAGAATGGCAAGTGCTTAGAGAACATATGATAATGTTACACAATTACCTTAACTCCTCTGATGTAGAATGTTTGGGAACCAGGGTTTTAAAGCAGAGGTGAGATGTGCATGGCCCTCCAACTGATGATGACCCACAATTCCCAGCAGCCCTAGCCAGCAGAGCTAATGTGAGAAATACTGGGAATTTCAGTTCAACACCATCAATGGGAATACTCTTCAGCATTTAACAGATGAAAACTAGGAAATGTGTGGTCAAACAACATCAAAGTGTGGCCAAGATGGCAAAGGTTAATAATGAAGAACACACAAGCAAGAGGAGGCTGCAAACAGTTTTATTTTGCCTGAGACCCCATCTACAACGCCATATAATCCAGTTTCTGAATCCAGATTAACTGCTTTGAACTGAATTATATGGCAGGGTACACTCATGTTATCAAGTTCAAATCAGATAATCTGGATTCAGAAACTGAATTATGTGGCAATGTAGATCCAGCCTGAGCTAACTCAGCCCTTCCTCTCTTCTGCTGTGTTATCTGAGGGCCCACACAGCCAAATAACCCAGAATATCAAGGCAGATAATCCACAATATCTTCTTTGAACTGGGTCATTATTTATTTATTTCGTGTACTTCTACCCCGCCCTTCTCAATCCCCGAGGGGGGACTCAGGGCGGCTTACAAAAGGCACAATTCGATGCCTACACAATAGAGACCATACTGCCATATAATCCAGTTCAATGTGGATTTTATACAGCTGTGTGGAAGGGGCCTGAATGCAAACTAATTTTGCGCTATGGACTCAACTTGCAATGATTGAAATAAACTTAGGACAAAGGCGTACAGTAGGAGGAGGAAAGAGATACTTAGCACATGAAAAAGCAGGTGAAAAAGTGGGATGACAGAAGATTAATCAAAACTATCCCTTCAAAATCAGAACATTTGAAGGGTTGTTACCCATTTTTCTTTTCTATTTTAAAGTATACTAAAGAAGGATGGAGAAAGAAAGAAAAAAAGAAAGAAAGATATAAAGAAGCAAACCCTCTCTAACTGAATGTAGAAGACTCTTTCAGCTGTTTGCCAAATGCTTTGAGTATGATCCAAGACAGCACTTAAATTCGGGATTACTGGTAAGCCTATTCATGTCATTCCACACTCTGCTCCCAAATCTAAATATGTATGTTTCAAGAATCTGGAGCTTTCAAAAAATATAGTTTCCTGTAGAAACTATGCACGCACACACACATGGAAACCATAGTTCACAAGTCTTAAACCTATTCCTTCTTGGGCTGTTCTGTTTAAATAATGAGAGCTACTCCAATTCTTGCAGTTTGAAGGACTTTATACTATTTCTGGATAGAATAAAAACAGTAAATAATTATGCTTTAGGAGCTCATGGGAAAAGGCTATTAACAAATATTTCTAAGACACTATTTGGCTAGTTAAACTTTTGCAAAATCCTCTTTGTTGCTGACATTTTCCCCAACTTGTCTTATCAACACTTTAAATGCTTTCCCAATAGCACCTCCCATTTTTAATTTGATGCTTTTTAAAGAGCCAAAGGAGGTTCTTCCAAATACCTGCTGCATCTCGCACACGGTAATTCTATAAAATGACCTTGAGTTCAGCGCCGACTTGATTTTCTTTACCTTAGTCTCAGCAATTTTGATCTTGAGAGCCATGTACACATGATGAGCAAAAGAGCAGTGATGCAGTTACATTTCTTACATCAATATCAGCTGGAAGAAACCCCTTATTATTATTTTTCACTTCCAAAGCACTTCTGGGTGTGCAGTGTGAGACAGAACAGAATAGCATTATTGGATTAAAGCAAACTGGGGCAAAAGCCATCTGTGAGCCAACTCTAAGCTGCTGAAGTCCAACTAGACAATCCTGAGCTGCTCATTACGTCTCCAAACTGCTCAGCTAAAACAGATCTTGTTCTCTGTGCTGTTAAGAGATTGCAGGTAACTTGTGCTTCTCATTCCCTCTCTCTTTGAACTGCATTCTTTCAAATTAGTTCACAGAGGTTACACTACTTCGCCAATACTGATCACAACTGCAAATCAAAAATCCAATGTAATCACCCCACTTACCATAAATAAAGTTGTTTTATGCTGATACAGACCATTGATCTGCCTATTGTGATAATGTCTATGTGGCTGATAGATCGGGGCTCTGCAAAATCTCAGGTACATATATTTACTGACCCGATGCACAAACCCCTGCTAAAACTATAACTAAAAATAGGAACAGCTACTACTGTACATATAAAGCAGCTCAATTTCTGAGCTTTCTCTTCCCCCTGCCCCGAGGTCAAAGTTGGAAGTGGGTAACAAATATTATTTGCTGTTTGCTTTTAAAAAAAATAGATATACACATCAGAAACCCTTAGAACATATTGCATCAGGTTGATGATGATGATGAAGATAAAGAAAACTTTATTTATATCCCGCCCCCTCTCCAAAAGGACTCAGGGCAGCTTAAAACAAATGAAATCATAAGCAAAAGAAAACAAAAACCCCAAAGTGGCTGGAAGTCCACTTTTGATTCTCAAAAATTGATATTTTTGATGTTAAACATTATAGGGAGACACGTTGTTGTGTCTGGAACAGCAAATAACTCTAATTTTCAGCAAGAAAATGTCATTCTTTGGATTTCAGATGTGCCATAAAATCATAGAGCAGGAAGAGACCTCATGGGCCATCCAGTCCAACCCCATTCTGCCAAGAAGCAGGAAAATCACATTCAAAACACCCCTGACAGATGGCCATCCAGCCTCTGTTTAAAAACTTCCAAAGAAGGTGCCTCCGCCACACTCTAGGGCAGAGAATTTGACTGCTGAACAGCTCTCACAGCTCTCATTTAGCAGACTGTGTACATATATTTTTCATTATTCTTCATTTAATCTGGGAACTAAGATTACAATGAAACTGACTATATTTCTGCATGCTTCTTCTGGCTACTTACTTTCCAAGTATGTAAGCATTTCCAATATTTTCTGGTCAATCTTTCCTAACCTTTGTTCATAGATGTTTAATTAGGATAGCTGCTGCCTGATAGCAGGAATGCCTTCCATTTTGATTTAAATAAATTGCCTTCTGAGCATTCATAATTATGAAACAAACTCTCAGGAAAGCTTAGATAGGCAGAATAAATACAGCCATTTTCGGCTGCAATCCAAAACTAGAGTATTTTGAAGTTACACTATTGATTTGGGTGGAACAACTTCAAGAGTCAGTGACAGAGGATTACAGTATTTCTGTTTCTGAATTTGAATGAAAGAGTCTCAATTATTGTTGTTGCTTTTTGACAGCTTCAAGTCATTTTTGAAATGCTTTGGGATTTGTACTGAAGTTGGCTACACATTTGGTGTGCTAGCTTACAGTTATAAGACGAATTCCCACCAGTTGTGACTAAAATTAGGTTAAGATGTAACTGCTGGTGAGCAGTGTGAGTATTCCAATAAAAAGTGTTCCCTGTAACAATGAAGCCTTTCTATTTGAGCTATCATTAGAGGGCATAGTTAGAAAATAAGGAATCAGAATTTATCTTGTAGGCAAGCTGTCTTCAGGGCTCCCATTTCTCAGAAATGTTTTGGATCATTGGAGGGAGACTGGTTCTGAAAAGGTGATATGAAAATAGCAGACTGTCTGTGTTCATCACGGTTGAATTCATGAGCAATATGGCCAGTGAGTGCCTCCAGTGGTGCAGCGGGTTAAACCACTGAGCTGCTGAACTCAGGTGAGTGGGGTGAGCACTGTTAGCCCCAGCTTCTGCCAACCTAGCGGTTCAAAAACATGCAAATCTGAGCAAATCAATAGGTACCCATTCCAGTGGGAAGGTAACAGTACTCCATGCAGTCATGCCAGCCACATGACATTAGAGGCATCTATGGACAACGCTGGCTCCTTGGCTTAGAAATGGAGATGAGCACCACCTCCTAGAGTCAGACACTACTAGACTTAGTGTCAAGGGGAAACCTTTACCTTTATTATGGCCAGCAAATAGTCCTTCACTAAATTTTGGAGTCATAGTGCATAGTGCAAGAAACTACCTTTTCACAGGTTCCAGAAAAGAGTATGAGAAAGATACCATTTGACACCACAAAGCTTTAAAGAGGCAGTCCTACTTCCCTCTCCAAAACTCAACGGCATCATTTATGAGCACCATGGAGCTATAGGAAGCCTTGTGCCTTGATAAGGAGGTTTCTTCTGCTGTTTTGGGGGTGAAATGATGGACAAGGGGGAGAGGGTGGGACTGCCATCCCACCTCCCTGGGCTGCCCGTGAGGACACTTCTGTGGATCACAGATACTAATGATCCCAGAAAATGGTTCCCACACCTCCATATGTCAGAAACTGCAAACCCAAATATTAGCAGAGCATTAATTAATAGTCTGAGGTCAAGTTGATAGTCCAACAGAGGTGCAAACATTAGGAGGATAAAACAAATAGAGAAGCCAAATGTCCACGCAAGGATCGTAAACCATCTTCCTGGAAGATCCGTATTTTTTAACGCGGAATAAACCTGGATTAACAAATTTATTCCAGGTTAGACTGCATTAGCCTGGTATGTCATTTGGACATGCCAGGCTAATACACTCTATACGCTGGATTATCTGCCAGTGTAGATGGGCTCCGAGTTCACTGTAAACTATTTTTGCACTTTAATCTCAGTTTGCAGCAATGGACATGATATTAGGACATATGGGAAATGTGGGAGAATATCTGGGACCTTTTAAATCAGATGAAATGTGGGAAAGTGTAGGATTGCGACTGTCCCAGAAAAGGGAGAGAGTTATGAGAGTATAGTTTAGCCTGATCAAGATCAAGTCACCTCAACAGACTTTTGATATATAAGTGCATTCTTATGGGGGGGGGGGGGTCAGTTCACCTCACTGCTATTGTAAAGACTATGCTTAAGTTCAGGAGGAACTGGACAATCTAAGGGGCTTGGTAGCTGATGCCATATCCCCTGGTATTTAAAACGCCCTAGGACTTTGGCCCTATAATCTCTGACTGCTTTATTTCATTGGACTGAGGCAAAACATGTTTGTTGAAAACAGCTTGCTTCAGAAAGAATCTATTCAAAAATGAAATGATTACATGGATACAGAAATGATGTTAAATTTGTTGCTGCACTGATAGAGGAGCAAATTTGTTGCTGAATATTATTTTATACAATGATCGTGAAACAGTCTTCGAGTAAATTTATTTTTACTTGTGTGCAAAAGAGCTGCCACTAGAGGGCGAATTCATTGAAAAAAAGATACATACAACCCAGTGACAGTCAGGAGTAACTCTTGCAGTCAAGCAAGTAGACATATTACATCACCCGCTTTCTTGGTGCATTTCCACAAAATGTCAGCCCAGGAGAGAATTTGGCCCATTAAAGATGACATTTGGTTGTTTACACATTGCTTTACCGAAAGACAAACATACAAACAAACAAACAAAAAACCCAACAAGAGTACCAGCACATTTTGTTCATATCATATGTTTTTTGCTTATTTTTTAATCTCTGGCTGGATCTACACTTCCATATAATCCAGATTATCAAATCAGATAATTTGGATTTTATATGGCAGTGTAGGTAGGGCCTCTGTTATACTGATTTTGATTGTTTGCAAACCGGCATGTTAATTCGGTCTTAGGCTATGGTAGTATTCATTACTGCCCAGTTAATTTTTTTACATTGTGAATTTTCACTTGCATTTTATTGGTGTTGGTCTTGTGTGTATTTTGTTATTTGCATTTTAATAGTGTTAACTGCAGCTTCTACATTGCCATATAAAATCCAGATTTTTTGCTTTGAACTGGAATATATGGTAGTGTGGACTCATATAATCCAGTTCAAAGCAGAACATAAGGATAATCTGCTTTGATAATCCGGATTATATGGTAGTGTAGAAGGGGGCTATGTTGTATCCTACCTCAAACCACAAGGAGAGACTGGGTAATAAAGTTATTATTATTATGTGATACATAACAAGATACACAGCAAACAAGATCACTATATTGGCTTTTGTATTTGAACACATGTCGGAAACTTCCCAAGTGTCTAGGACTGCGTGAAGTATCATCAAATAATGCATGCAGATCTGAGTAGGGTGACCTTTTGCAGCTGACAGATGGTAATTTTGTCAGCGCCGATTGCTTTTAAGTGCAGGCAATGGTCTTTGGGCACTGCATCCAGTGTGCTGATCACCAGTGGGACCACCTTTACTAGCTTGTGCCAGAGTCTTTGCAGTTCTGTCTTTAAATCCTCATATTGTGTAAGCTTTTCCAGTTGCTTCTCATCAATTCTGCTGTCACCTGGGATTGCAACATAAACGATCCATACTTTGTTTTTTTCCCACAACTTTTTTTTTCCAGAAACTGTCCACGGAGAGCCTTCTTCTGCCAGTTTTCTCTTCAGCTCTGCGTGGTATTTTTACAGTACTCATTCTTTGTTTTTTGCACTTGAAGCAGTTTTCTACTATTGACTTCCATCAATGTTGGTTCTTGACTGTCTTTCACATAATCTGCCAGTGCATGTTTCTCTTCTTCAACAGTTTCTTTCAGTTGCAGAAGACCTCTGCCTCCTGATTTTCTGGGCAGGTCAAGTCTGTTGACATCACTACGTGGATTATTATTGCATCTGTCCCAGAGCAATGCAGCCTTTTTTTGTCTCATGTCAAGCCATGCTTCCCCACTCCAAGATACAGTGCATGTGTATGTATGTGCCGTTCCAGAAAATCAAGGCAGAAAATACCACAATATCTGCTTTGAATTGGGTGATCTGTGTCCACACTCAGAT